TGGGGGGTGTGCGGGAGTGTGGGGGGTTATGTTAGAATGTGGGTGAGGTTTAGAAAGGAGACAGAGAGACACACACGCACGAACTGTGCATTCATATCTCTTTTGTAGATGATATAGTCACAGTGTGCATCATGTGCTCTGCTTTGTTCACATTGGTGATTCGATTGTGCTTCTGGCGTGTTGATCGATCATGGTCTGTTGAAGTTTTTATATGTGTGTGTGATTGTGAGTGTATGTGTGTATKTGTGTGTGTATGTGCATGTGTGTGTGTATGTGCGTGTGTGTGTGTGTGTTCCCCGCCCCCACTTAAACTCCCCGGTTTGTTCATCGCCTTGGGAGGCAACTCTTGAATAACTCAGAATGACACAGACCCACATAAACAGTATTAAATGTTTTTTTTACAAAACAACTCCAATATTAGAACCCGCGACAGTCCTCTTAAAGCGCAAAAAAAAAAAAAAAAAAAAAAAAAACTTTTTTTCGGACATTTTCCGGTTTATCCGAAAATTCCGGATGAACAGTATGCCGGATGAAACGGTCGGATATTCCGGTAAATTAATCCGGCCGGAAATGGCAAACAACTTAGATTTTTTTTTAGTTTTTAACTTCTTACTCGAGTTTTATTGGGAATTCGAGGATGAATGCCAGACAAAAGTTGTTTGTACTATGTTTGTGAATAATATATATTTGTTACATTTTTTATTATTATTATTATTATTTTTTTTTTTCCATTTATTTGTTTTTTGTGTCTTTGATTTTCAACTCGAGTTTTCTACAGAATTTTGCAATGAGTCTAAAACAAAAGTTGTTTGAAATATCATTCTGCATAACATACTTTGTTTTCATATTTTTTCGAATTTTAATTTTTTTTTTTTTTTTTTTTTTTAATGTATTCCCACGTACGAGAGTACGTGTCGCGTACAGGAATACGTGTACGCGTGTACGTGCAACCCGCGTGCACGTATGCCGTGCTACCCAGTTCTAGAGTTAAGAATTATTTCAACTTTTCGTATTTAAGCTGATATAAATTATGAAAAGACACTTTTYTACGGGAAACGCTTCCAAAATTTTCTTAGTTTAGAGAACATAGATTATATTTTAACAAGTGRCGATTCTGACAATCCACTTTGTATAGGAGAGATTCTGCCATAGGTCTRCCTTTCCTTGGGTACTGCCTTAAGAGGTAGACTTAGGCTTGGTTATCAGGAGAGTTTTGAGTGAGAACGTGTTATGGAGATTTATTCTCCGTACACTTATGAATTTAGTTTGAGAATTGACCAGTCTTGTGTTACAGGTCCTCTTGATCGATTCGATTCAAGATTTGGACTAKTTTYAACTTCACCCCAYGAGGATCAATTTCTATKATCACTGATAACAAGTCGATTGTCAATTCGTCGGTTTACGACTCAACTCCAATCAACTCTTGTCACTCAACCTCAAGGTTTAAACCYTGTGGTTTGAATTGTTTCGTTTTATTTTTACMAGGACTTTATTGAATGACCATTTAACAAAGATACTGAATATTTTATTTTGAGAGTTGTACAAAGAGTGAGGCTTGTATGGCTAAAGCGAGGAGCGTGAGCGTAGAGAATGGTTGAGGTTGACCCYGTATAGTGCATGAAMTTTTGGTTGAATCTTTGATGTGCTTGCAAGTATGTTTTGGTGGTTTGAACTTTGGATTTGACTTTCTGCGATCACATACATATATATCGTTAAGAGGAGTCTCACTGTGATTGTGAGAAGTGATCGTCAAGTATTTATAACCCTCTATATATTTGTAAATACATACGCATTGGGTGTTCACGTGACCTGATGTGACCGTGCGTAAGGGTTAAACAAATTATGTTTTGAGAAAGAAGAGAGATCCTCTTTTATCCCTTGCTTTTTAGATTTTTTATATAGTTGGACGTTGTAGTCCGTGGTAGTCGTCAAAGTCAAACCCCTTGAGTTTTCTCAAGACCCTGGATGGTRGAGCTGGTCTCCAGGGCAATAAGAGACGATTGCCACCACAGGTATGAACCTGTGTACCACCCACTTTCTGCAGGGTGCAGAAGAGGGTGTGGTTCTCAACCACGCTTGGCGGTTGTCTAGCGTCGAGAGATTAACCCCTCAAGGCGCGTGTCAGTCGACACTTGAGTGTCGAATGCGACCCTGGAGATTAATGAGGACCGCAAGAGAATGGGTACTACATAGTACGCAATGACTGCGACTGCTTGCGTATGCTTGCATTTCTAGTTGATATGAGAAGGCCCTGCATCCGCGCGGTTTTATACTAAGTCTYGCTCGTGTCGCCTATCCGATTTTCGTGTCAGAAGGTTATGGGATGGCTACAAAAGGGACTAGGAGTGTTGTTGTGTTGTTTGTTTTGTGTCGTTTTGTGTGTGTGTGTGTGTTGTGGTGTAATGCGTGGTGTCGACCGACGACGAGTCACCCCTGGGACTTCAACCCCAAATGTGTCGGTTCGTGTGCGGGTTCGATAGAGGCGTGAGACTACACGTACCCGCTATGCTACAATGAACGGGAAATGCCCTCGACTGGTCCACCTCAGCGATTGCAACAGATTAACTTCTGTACTATGGACTGGTAGCTTGACGGGGATACGCCCACCGAAGGGAGGTGACAACTCCCGCAGGTGGAGGTAACTTGTACCTCACGTTTGCCCTATCTTGTCGTAGGGGCTTGCGAGAGATATGGTTGGCGCACTCGGCCGGAGCGGCTTGCGAAAGCTCCATGTGTATCGCGAGAATACCAACTCCTGCGTGACACGATCGGGAGGTTCCCGCCCTGTGCGGGACCGATGCGCTCGACACCGGGCCAATTTTTCGGCTTGTAATATTAAAAAAAAAGGAAAGATTCTGGATTTTTTTTTTTTTTTTTTAACGAAAAACGAATGAAACACAGATTCCAAGGGACATGCGCCTTTTGAAGTGACTCGGCAACACCTGAGGGTAAAGATATTATGCGCAAAACAACAACAAAAAAGAAAAAACCTCCGCCGGTGTCTAGACTGCAAAAACCTTCTTTCAGGTCCCCCGAAACTTGATTGTTGACGCGGTCATTGTTACTTCTGAAAAACTTTATCTCAAATTTAAAATTTTAAAATTTTTAGTATTATTTAGTATTTACTAAATGACAATCTGGTTTGCAACTAGTAACAGTCCAAAAGAAGAGAGACAAAAAAAACCACTAGCAGTCAGTTGGTAGGCCTGTGCTTATTTTTCATGATGGGGGAGAAGGTTTGGCAGTTGGTAGAAGGACCCGGGCGCGTGCCTATGCTTGTGCCTGTGACTTGAGAAGGCTAAATGTACTCATCTCCTAGAAGGCGCACCTCAAACCTTTGACTTGTAAAAGCCTTTAAGGCAAGGTAGTGTTCTTTAGGTTTCAAACATTTGACTTAGGAATAAAAGGGGATTGGGTAATTACAACAACTTCCCTACCGGTCCCAATGACCCTCTACCGAGTAACCAGCTGCCTGGACAATCATACAGCACTGGAAGCATATGACTTGACGCTTGTTGGGGCCAGAATGACAAGTCTCACCAGAAACGAGCGCCTGGATAAACAACAGCCTTGGTCGCGCCTCATAAGAGTACGTGTGGTGGGTAATGAGTAAGATGGTTGGTGGGCCTATGAAGCCGCTACCCCAATCTGCTCACTACCATTCGATCCCGAAGAGTGGCAATGGGGAGGAGCTAGGCCGCTGCCGGTCTGGAAATACACGGTCAAAGAGTGCTATAGGAAGACCCATAAGACCATCGACACAACTAACATCATACAAAATAGGTGGCGGCGTGACTCTATACTGAAAGAAAATGATCTACAAAACTTCAGGTGGTCCCACTACTCTAGTCTCATGCCCACATCACAACGAG